TATATTAGGCATGAACTTTATGAGGCTGCTGCCTTTCGGATTCCACTTTGGATGATTGTCTTGAGTCATAACTATAAGTTTCTATTTTAATTCAGTGCTATTGAACGAATAGGAACAAAAGAAAACTTCAGGTTTTAGATTAAAGATGTTTGGAGACAGCTGTAAATATTTGAAAAAGGGGCTTAATACTAGGTTTTTTCTGCTTATGGGTTTATTTAGCCTTTTTTTGTTCATTTATTTTGTGATTTGGTTTGATATAACTCGTGCTTGGTCTGTTTTACACCAGATGCTTATAACCATACATGTACCTAATTCAGACATGGTGAGACCAGCCAAGGATTGGTCCTGCTGTTCATGTGTTTTTGTTTCCTCCCTGCATCAGTAATAAACATTCGCTGCATATAATAATCATATTTAATAATAATGAATGTGTTTGTTTTGTTTTTTTCTGTCCATTAATCAGGGTGAAGAGGGGCCTCCCAGTCTGGAGTACATCAAGGCCAAGGACTTGTTCCCCCAGAAGGAACTGGTGAAGGAGGATGAAAGCCTTCAGGTGAGCTGTTTTTTTTTTTTTTAGCAAACATCCCTTTACTCTCACATAGCCTCTCACTCAGTCTCCATGTGAACTTCTCATTTCATTGTCCCTCTCCAGTTTAACACCTTCCCTGACTTTAGGAATAACATTTAGCACTGATATCAGGTGAACAAGGTCAGCATTTGGTGATGGACTCTCTTCTGTTTTGCTAAACTGCTATGATCATGGGTTTATTTTTTGCTGTATGATGAAAGTAACCAAACCACATGGGACTATTGAGTGAGCCACCAGCTCAGATAGGTAAAAATGTATCAGTCCCATCGCTTCTTTTTTTTTTTCCTCCTGAGCAGTTGCCATCTGTTTCATCATATGAGACACTGCAGGTGTTCGTTAATATTTTTTTACATGGCTATCTGGGTGCAGACCTCTTTGAATGCAGCTGCATCACTAGGACTTGGTCTTTTTGGACAGATTCAGTGAATAGAGCTTCTTGATCTCCTTTAACATATTTTAGCTGGGCCCAATTCCTTTTAAAGGTTTTTATAAGATAAAATATAAAAATAGGATTTAAAATATTTGCTCCAACTTCATTGCGTAAAAAGATCCCATTGGCTTGCATCCTGGAGATGTTGACCCTAAGCAATACCCTGATGGCTCTCTGGACATTGCAAGCTGCTCATTTATCCCTAAGGGATGAGTTAAATGCAGAGGATACATGTTACCAAAACAAACAACTTTATCATCACCATTTTGATTATTATTGTATTAATATTGTGGATTTTAGAATCAAGATTTACATCACATCAGAAGTCTATGAAATCGATTTTGTTATATTGAAACAAGACTTTCTCAATGATCTAATATCAACAACACGGTTAGCAAAATAGTGATCCTAAAATCTTAATGTGTGTGTGTTGGGGCATACCTTAAATCTAGAATCTCCAAGATGCAACATGTGCCATAACGGAGGTTGAAACCTTAAAGGGATAAATGCTGCAGTTTCACACTTCTTATTTTCAACCTTCCTGTTATCCATTTAAAGTTTGACTCTCTCTTGCCCTCTCATTGCCTAAATGAAAAATCTCAGCATGTGGTAGAAAATGTAGTTTCATTTTCAATAGGTCTTCTAAAATGGCTAAATTTCCTCCATCATTTTAAGGTCTCTTTAAATGTCTCATCTATCAGTACTAACTTCCACATGAATGCGCACATAATGAACCCAGTTATTAAAAAATGACTGGATTCTGGTATCTTCATCGTGTTTTTTTGGGTTGTTGTTTTTTTTTGGTCACATAGGTATTTTTCCAGCTTGGTTTTAATGACAAACAATGAAAGTTGTTTGATACAATAGGTGGGATCATTTAACCTGTTTATGCATGTAGTGACAAAGGTTGGCAGGGATTCTCTATATACAGGGGTTCCCAAAGTTTTTACCTCCTGACCCTAAAAATAACATTGACCCCCTAGAAATACAAATTATTATTTCACTCTAAATTCACACATAGAGTAAATGAATGTATATGAATATTGAATCAAGTTAACACTAGCGGACCCCTCAGGGGGTCCCTTTTTAGCTAGGAATGTTTCATAGGTTGTACACCTTGGTGTAACACTTCTTTAGATTTTGCATGGCATAGTGGGGCAGTCAAATTATAGTAATTTAGACTCTGAATCACTATTTCCTGCATTTTGAGGTGGAATGCAGCTAACTTTTTGTCTTTGTTGCAATGCTACTTTTGTCCTGATTATGGGAAGTATGCGTGCTTGACTAGAGGTGGAAATTCATAAGGAAGACGTGAGATCATTTCAGGTACAATATTATGTTTCATAGGTTAATACAAACAATGAGAAAGTGTAACTTAAACTTATTGCTAATGGGGAAACTTGATTGTTACATATACAGCAAGTTGAACAAAAATGAAGAACTGAAGCTCTAAAACACAATCTGCAAACCAATAGAGGAGAAAGTGCCAGGACTGCTTTTATTTCTATGCATATACCGGTACTTAGATTTTGCAAGTGTAAGTTTAAGCATGTGTGTTGCGCCAAAGGGAAATTTTACCAGTTGTAAATGTTTAAAGGGCAAAAACAGCGCACTGTTATCCACAAAGAACATCCATTTATTGATCTTTTCGAATTACAGACTCCAATTATCTCGAAGAACCATGAAAAAAATCGAGGCATCTGATGTAATTTACTTTAGCTGGTGTTTTTTCTCCCATTCCGGACACAGTGTTGTCCCAAAGAACAAAAAAAACCCTCCAAAATATTCCTATCGTTATCAGGCATTCCATGAATTTTCGTAAACTTTTCAAAGTTTGAAGCTTACCTGCTTGCAAACAGCACAGCGTGCTTGTTCCCGCAAATTAAGTTGTCCATAGGGACATTAAACCATATTCCAGTGGAAAATTAGGGCTTTGCAAAGCCGTACCTCCCAGTTTCTAATATTTTTAGTAAACGGCCTACAATGTATGCCTTTATGCTTTGCTAGATAAAAACTTCTACCTATCCCTACTTTGGGAACCTATGTTTTAGATGGTAGCTGGAGGTAATTGCTTCTGCACTTTGAATTTTAAGAAAATGCTTTTTTAAAATGCTTTATTTGATGCTAACAGATGTGTATAAACCATGCAGAGAATTTATAACTTTTTGTAGCTTTTCTCTCCAAAGTTTCTTAATTTTATTTTCACCTCTTGGCTGAACTGTAACTTGTGGCGCCTGTTTTCTTTTCTTAAGAATATCATCTTCACTCCTGCAGAGAATAAAACAGGGCAGCTGCAAAACATGTGGGTCACTAGAGAGAGGAGGACTTGCTAGGCTGTTGGTGAAGATGAAGCTTTGATGGGCAATTTTCTGTCTGCTCTCCGTGGAGTAGAGGGTTTGCTTTTAGGCTGTTTGGTTAATGGAGCTGAGCATCATGTTTAGAGAGAAGATGACAAAAGAAAGATGAATAGTTGAGGGAGCCTCCCAGCCTGAGGTTATCCACTTCTGGGTTTATTTTGTGCTTTTAAATTGAACTGTGTTTCCAGTTGATTTCCAATGAACTGAGGGGAAAATCAGCTTGTTTTGAGTTTTTATTTATAAAGTGGTTTTCTTTTAAAAGCCTTCCGGTGAGAGAGTTTAGGGTAGTTTGGTTTGAGGAGATAAAAGCTCTATAATCATCTTGATTGCAACATATGATATGCTCCTCCCCCCCGTCCTTGACACATGCAGTCACACATTTTTATCCCTGCTTTAATCTTTTGATTGTTCTCAGTCATTTCTCTCATTATCAGTATTTCCTTCTCACAGCTGCTTGCTTGCAGACACCCCATGCCTTATTTAATACGTTTCTGCTCTGAGTCTGCACATTTAGGTGTACCTTGGAGCAGGGTGTGCATGCCCTGACATGCAGGCTGCTTGAACCGGAAGTCACGACTCACTAGTCGGAGCATTATTCATGGGCGTTCCTTCTCGGCCCGTTTCTCTCCGTGGCTCGCCGTCTTCACGTTTGTGCTTCCTAAGGCTTCGTAGAGGAAACGTGACACAGTTATCTTCTGCTGCTCTTGCCAGCTGCCAGTGACTCATGCACCCACTTTAGGAGCGCAGCTTGTTTAATGCAGCTCCCAGTCAGTACAGCATGCTAACTATGGCAATCTGGGCAGGAAGTGTTGGTCGTCTCCCAGAGCGGAGAAACAATCAGTTTCAGTGGCTGCAGAATCTCATTTCAGGCATAATAATGTCTTTGCATTATTAATTCATGCAAGCTGCCAACATTGATGTGGTTTTTGCACATGAATGCAATGATGCTATTGTGCTCAGCTCTCTGTTTTATCGTGCATAATTCTATATCTTTGGGTTTTTAATGTCTGCGTTGGAGGTTTTATGTATAAACCTTACAGTCTGGCTAGGAAGTTCCTGAAACTTTGAAAATATGAGTCTGGAAAAGTTTGCAATGATAAAGCTGGAACTCTGGCTAATTTTGTTCTTCTTTCTCTTCAAAGTTAGTCAGAAGAGGTATTTTTTCTACTGAAGAAAAATGTAAACGCTATTAATGTTTTAATAGTTACGTTTTCCCATTAGTTGTACCAGGGGAGTCGCTGCCTATATTTGGCTCCAGTGTTTGGCTGCAGAACACTGTGTGCTCCATTTCCCAGGTTAAGCTGGACTTTTATTTTTTTCTGTCTGGACCGATGCAGCATCTGTTTAGAAGAGCAGCAGCAGGTGCAGCATAAATATAAGGGGGTTCCTTAACACCCATCCGTCATCAAACGAGGGACACACTGTCAGGAAAAAAAATAAAATAAAAAGAAATACCGCCACATGCTCTTGTAATTTTGTGTTTATATTTGATGTTTTCTCTTAACTCAGCTGGCCAAGGTCATCGCGAGTCGTTATCATGTCTTTATGACTGTGACTAACATCCTGCATGATAGTGTAACACATTGTTTTGATCTAGAACCATCATGGCTGCTGCTGTTTCTCTAGTTTCAAGTCGACCCGATTTCTCCTCATCTGCCTCACTGCATGCAGTCTTTTTAGCATGCCCTGGTAACTCCAGCTCTGAGTGACTCAGCAACACATGCTAATGCAGTATGAGGTAATGTTGTCTCTAAGCAACGCCATTGTCCCCTCTACGAGAGCCTAAACAAGATCTAAGTAGCCATTCATGACAGCAAAGTTGTTTTAAGGAGACCAGAACAGAAAATCGTACCGGACCTCATGCTATCCTGCAAAAAACTTTGCTTGTTTTAATCCCCTTGAAAAAGCATCTGTGACATTAAACGGTAAAGTATCAATCTCTTAAAAAGGGAGGTGAGAAGCCAACCGCTGTGAATGTAATTAAAAGCTTCAGATTATCTCTGAATTGAAACATTATTGAGGAGTTGGCAGATGTAACAGGCGCTTGGCTTTTAAAGATAATTCCCCGCATACGAGTTAAAAAAAAAAAGTTCTCTTGACCTCTTCTAGAAAACCAATTACCTTAATGTAGGGTGCTGCAGCCAAAGCCAGGGCTTGGCTGTGACTATAATAAAATGAACACAAGTAGGAATGTTAATAGAAAGGCTGGGATCCTGTCCTGCAGCCCTGCCTCCTGTTTGTCTGCTCATTCAGGCTCGGCAACAAGCCCTTTCTGCTCACAAAGGTCCCTCTGTAAGGCTAGAGGCACGTTCTAATGGGACACCTTAGACCTGCATGCCAGTGTTACTGTCACCGGTTTTATTTAGTGAAGGTTTTTATTTTACAGAAACTTTATGCAGAAGTATTCACACCTCTTGTACCTTTTTAAAATTTTATGGCTGCCTTATATGTTTTATTCAATATTTCCAGGCATGTTTTACTGCAGGGATGGTGTCTGTTTATGTTTCATCTTAAAAAAATCCTTTAAGGTATTGAAAAAATGACAAATAATACAGTGCAATTTTTTTTTTTTGCATTATTTACAACAAAACAAAACCTAACATGCATGTTGTTTTCAGAGTCATATATGACAAAGATTCTGCAGTTAAGGCCAGAAAGCCAGAGCACGTTCCTCCATATTGCTTTCTTGATCTTTCACATTGTTTGTGGCAAACTAAAAGTAAATTAAACAGTCGTCTGTGACATTTTAGAGCTGGAGACATTATTTTATAACCTAACTCTGCTTTGAATGACCCCAGAAACAAAAGTGACCTTTCTGATGTGTTCCTTGGTTTGTTTACTAATGTTCTCTAGAAATTTTTTTTTAAATAAAAAGGACACGAGGCAATTTTGACTTTTAGAGTTAAAACCATGTAATTTTCACTCCATTATACACATTGTATTGGTCTGTGCCATGGTTTAGTAATAAATATGGCAAACCTAAAGGTGCATGAATGCTAATTACATCAGAATCGCTTATATTTTACAGTGTTTTTTTTTTAGGGCGGATTTCTTCCCCCATTTTTATATTGTTATAAAGTATACGAAAAAAGTTAGAATTCCTACTAAAGGAAACCTTTATTAACAAATCAAACAAAACAAGGAAAACGGCTGTATTATTAGCCGGCTGATATATTGGTCTATTTCTTTAGATTAGGTTTGGGATAACGCATATAGAGCTGTGCATCCATGAGTTTTTTAAGCCAGACCTAAACCTAAACCTGCGTCTTTGTCTCTGCAGGTTCCATTCCCGGTTCTTCAGGGGGAAGGAGTGGAATATCTCGGTCATGCGGACGAAGCAGTCATTGCGATCTCAAACTACAGACTCCACATCAAGTTCAAGGACTCCGTCATCAATGTGAGTTTGCCTCCCGACAAAGGGAGCTGCTGAATTAGTTTGCTTCAATACAAACAGCAGAGCCCCGCCACTCCACGGGCCAATAGCAGCAGAGAGGAGGGTTAGTGTTGGACACACAGGCTGTCCCCTTTCACCCTGTTTAAGTTTTCTCAACACATAACTGAGCTAACAAGGTAAATAAAGCTGAGGAATTCAACCAGAGTGCTCATTGCTGAGTGGTTTTAGCGCCGCTTCAGCATAGTTTCTTCTTCCAACACTGTACCACAGGAGTTGCAGGCTTTCTTTTGATCTACCGGCGAAAAGGCTGGAACGTGACATCCAAGTGTTAAAGCCCGGCCCCCGCTGGCGCTGCTGTCCGCTCCTTTTGACGTCAAGCGTTGCTCAAACACAAATGAGCATATTGTTTGTCCTCACTGGCAGTGAATTTTTCTCCACATTCCCAAATCTTAGTCAAATTTTTCAGGGTTCAATTTGTTGAAACAGCGGCAGAATAAAATAAGGAAAAAGGACTGATCATTAAATATGCTCCTTGGGATTTAGCTTAACTAGAGTTTATATGTAAGCGGCGAAGCAGCGCTGTACTACTCATTACCCAACCACTCGGACTCCTGCACAGATGAACTCTGTCTGAAAGTCACAACCTTTCCCTCACATGTCCTTTCACAAGTCACCCCATACTCCTAAGCTGTTTTTGCCCTTTGCTCCCATCTTTGTTTGTCTTTCTGTCTCACCATGAGCCATGTGTGATTTGGACATGTGCCGCTAGCAGCACATCCATTTAGTTAGCTTTCATCTTGCCCTCTTTGCTGTTTTTCCTTTTTATCTTTTCATTTCCGTTTTGTCTCCAAAGCCTTTTTGGGTTTAATTTTTTTTCCCATTCCCTCTTTTCCTGTGTGTCCTCTCCCTCCCTCTCTTTGTGTGTGCTCCATGGTGGTACTGTGTTTTAGACCTACCCTGGTGCGGACAGTGAGATCTCTGTGAGTACACTATGATAAAACACATCCCTCTGTCACAGATTAGACAGCCTGCTCACTCAGTCCTTCACTCTATGTGGCTGGAAAGCACTAAAGACAAAGTGTCTTTGTCTTTAATGATGAAAACCTTTGATTTTTATCCAAATTAGTTGCTATCCTTTAGACTAAAAAGGTTTATTTTTCACATAGCAGCAAGTATTTTGATATACCGTAATACGATGCATAGTCTCCATTTTCCCACCTGTGAACCTTTATGAGCGAATTCCAGTAATTTTTAGAAGCTGACAAAGAGCAAAAAAAGCTTTATTATTATTATTATTACAAATATTGAATCCAAGTAAGGATGCAGTCCTGAAGGAGAAGGTGGGAATTTCTCTGCAGGATTGTCCTCTGCTTTAAACAAATGAAATAAAATAAATAAACTTATTGTGTTCGCTCTGTCTCCCCCTACAGGTGCCACTCAGGCTGGTAGAAAATGTGGAAAGCAGAGATATGTTTCAGCTGCACATCATCTGCAAAGACTCTAAAGTTGTCAGGTAGGAAAATAGACAGTTGGGTTCTTATTTAGGCTTTAGATGGTAGTTTTATATTAGACAGTCACATGAAAAAGAAATGCGGTGCAAAACTTTCTCTTGAATCTGTTGCACTTTCCCTTAGAAATGTGTATTTCTAAGGGCTGGGTATTTTCGCCAAAGTCCTGAATCGATTAGATTTTGATTAATACAGTTCTAAATCGATTGATTTCGATTCAATCTGTTTTCACAATAATAAAAATGGTTAAACTGTGAGTCAGAATACTCATGTATTTTACTTTTTCCTGTCACATCCTAAACACAAAGTGCAAACTTGTAAATCAGACAGTTTAAGCTTGAGAAGTGAACAAAACTGTCTCATAAGTGCAAGCTTGTTGGTGAAAAGTGAAAAAGTGAAGCCTCACTCGAGCAAGCAGTCGTGACACAGCGGAGACACAGCAGACATTCATGAGCTGCATTATCTTCTCTGCACAAACCGTATTTGCAGCGTAGTCTGTAACAACTACAGGGTGTTTGCTGGTCAGCCCCCATTTGTTAATGTCTTCAGTCAACCTATTAGCTATATTTGCAGCTGTCTGGCTTAAAATCATCTTGAGTGCATCTTTCCTGCTCATTTGAATGTGAACGTCACGTGCGTCACTATAAAACTAATCGATCTCATTCCCTAAACATCGATTCTGCAAAAATTTAAAGAAATCGATTAAAAATCGATTAAATCGATTTTTTTACCCAGCCCTAGTTGTGTCATTAACTAGTTGTGTGATTGGATATTAAGGATGACAATCTGTGATTGTCAAAACATTTTACAAACCAAATCTGTAAAGAGGCGTTTTTTTCTGTTGAATTTTAGTTTGCAACAACCCATACAGAGTTCTGAGCACATGAAAGAATATACTGTGGTTAGGTTAGACTGTGGATATATGTGTGTATATGTGTGTGTGTATGTGTGTGTATATATATATATGTATATATATATATATATATATATATCTGTCCCCTTCCAAATGTATTGCTCATATTAGCCAATTGTTCTTCTTTATTGTAATTATCTGGAAAAGTTGAGCCACTCTTACTGTAGCTGAGTAATGAAACATTTGATTGTTTATATATCTAAAGCAACATTGAGTACCCTTTTAACCCACCTATATGCTTAATTTGAGAAATATTAAATTATTTTTCAAGAGACCCAAAGCGCCGCTTTACAACAGTCTGAGCTCCTCTTAAACACCAGAGCTAGATTAGCTAAAAGTTGCTGTTCGAAAACTCAACAGATTGAACTGTTGGTTCTCTGATCTAGGATTTAATCTAGAGGGGTGAGTGTTTTTGTCTTTACAATGAACTGCATAACTTCTCAATCTGCTGATCCAAATTGGTCTGCTATGAGACACTGAGACAGACTGGTTTATTTAGCGACAGTCCGTTATTGCTAGTTGCTTTCAGGGGCGTCAAAACTGGCTTTTAGAGTATTTGCTCCCCTAGTGGCTAAAAGTTAAATAGTGCTGTTTTAATAAACAAATGGAAAACATTCACTAAATGTTTTACCTCTAAATGAGGCTTAGAACAATAAAAATAAATATCTTTATTCATTTCATCATTCTGAACAAAAAAGTGTTTGTTTTTGCTTTAGCTTAATGTGGGGAGCCACATTGCACTTATTACATTATTTATCCTCCTTTATCGTTTCCTCTGTATGTTTGTGGAAAGCTTGATAGAACAGGATGTGTGAAGAGAGCAATTGAGTTTAATTTGTTTAGTAGTTTCATGGTATAATAATTATGTTTCTGTTAAATCAGTGCTTGCCATGAGCTGTTATTTAAACGTAGGCTAAAGAAGCTAAAGATAGAGAGCTAAATCTGGTTACTGAAGAGGAAACACAGGCTGAGAGCTCTACTCCTGAAGACGGGGTAGTTGCTGTCCAACATGGAGTCTGGGTTTGATTTAAGCGAAGGCAGTGATTTTTAAAGCTTCAGGAAACAAAAATCAAAAAAACTCAACAGTTCATTCAGCGTAACTGAATCCTGTTTTCTCATCTGAACCCTGGATTCTCCCCAGATGCCACTTTGCAACCTTTAAGCAGTGCCAGGAGTGGGTGAAGCGTCTGAACCGGGCCATCGCCCACCCGTCCCGGCTGGAGGACCTGTTCGCCCTGGCCTATCACGCGTGGTGTCTCGGAGCCAGCGCAGACGATGAAGACCAGCATGTTCACCTCTGTCGCCCAGGTTTGCACTGCCAACCTAAAGCTACTGTGATTGTCAGGAAAAAAAAACAGCATTATTTGTTTGCTTACGCCGCCATGTTAATGGGTGTTTGCAGGGGACCACGTCCGTCACAGGATGGAAATGGAGGTCAGACGGATGGGCTTCGACATGCAGAACGTTTGGAGAGTGTCTGACATCAACTGCAACTACAAGTATGTGTGCAGAACACTGTGAGCAGCCATGATGCTCTGACAATGAATGTGGAGATGCTCCTGTAGACCAGTGCTGAAATATCCAGGACTTCAATATCTGTGTTTCCTTTTCATTTCGCTAGGTTGTTGGCCAAAATCTTTATCTCAATGAAGCGATTAGCAGTGCGGTAAAATCACACCAATAAAACATTTATCACATGTGGTACGGCTCAAAAGAGGTTATTGGAAAAATAATTATTTAATTTGCAGCAGAAAAGCTCCATCTAATAAAGTCAAAGTCAAAGTATGGACATCTGTGAGGGTCTTAAGTTAAGAATAATATCTCCCTGCCTCAGGCTAAAGGTTTTATATTCATATTTCATAAATTAAGCAGATGAGCAGCTTGCTTTATTTTCTTTAAACACCCAGAAAAGATTCAGGCAGGTTCCAGTTACTTTTTAGTTACTCAGATTATTTAAAAAAAGAAGCTTTTAAATATTTCTGTAAATGGTTTGGTTTGGTCACATTATTTTAAATTGTTTGCACCATAGAAGAGTTTAAAATGCGATAGCGGAAGAATCGCAGGCTTCTTTGAAATGAGTCCTGTGTAGGAAGCAGTCTGTCCATCCTGTTGAAGGAGACAGAGATGCAGCTCCATGAGCTAAATAAACCAGCTGCATCCTGCTGAGTACCATGACTCAGCACAGCGCTTTACTTTCATCCTCTCAGTCTGTCTCCCCCTCAGCAGGTGGAAGGAAGTGTTATGAGACCAGAGACGGGTGGTGTTAGGGTGTGAGCCTGAGCTGAGACTGATTCACGTTGTTTCTCCTCAAGGTTGTGCTCCAGCTACCCTCAGAAGCTTCTGGTTCCCATCTGGATCACCGACAAAGAGCTGGAGAGCGTCGCTTCCTTCAGGTCCTGGAAGAGGATCCCCGTGGTGGTCTACAGGTGAGCTTGCTGACCCACGCCACAGCTCGCCCTCAGACCTCTTTGGTTTACTCATCAACACGTGTTTTGACTGTGTGGCTCCCAGGCATCAGAAGAACGGGGCAGTGATAGCTCGCTGCAGCCAGCCTGAGATCAGCTGGTGGGGTTGGAGGAATACGGATGACGAGTACCTGGTGACGTCCATCGCCAAGGCTTGCCACATGGACACAGGAGCCAAGGGGACGGCGGCCAGCCGGCAGAGAGGGGAGGCTCCCGACTCCTGTGATAGTGATTTTGGTAAACCTTCTGCTTTTTGTGTTTACGTGTCGACTACTGATGGTAAAATGATTCCAGTAATTCGATGAAAGCAAACCTCTTAATCAACGTCGTCATCCATGGTGCTGATGAATCACTTTTTAGAGGCTTTTTTTCCCATATTTACCAGGTGACAACCTCAAACTCCTCATTCTCTTTATGAGTCTAAGCCAAAAAAAAAAAAACGGTTAATTGTTATGAAGTAGCAGAATATTTTATTAAAATCTGTGTGGCTTACACATTGTGGTCCCTGTACTCCATAGCCTCTAAATGCAGGCCTGTTATTTATATACTTCTATCTTTTGGTGCAGTTAAAGCTGTGGAGCATCAGAGCATGATGCTGCCACCACCATGCCTCATAGTGTGGATGGTGTGTTCAGATGGACGAGCCTTCAATGTTTATCAAAGCAGAGCTGTGCTCTACTGCTTTCTGCTGGACTCTTTAGAGCATTCATCCATCATTGGCTCTCCTCTTTCCACTCTTTCATAAAAACATGATTGATGGAGGGTTTTTATTTTATTGTATTTTTCTTTTATTGGAATTTGTTGCTTTGCACAGTTGGCACCAATATGTGAAAATTGAAGCAGACGATTACAGAACGCTCTGCAGGCCGCTGTTTTTCTTCAGAGATCAAGCTGACCTGGACTCCCGCAGCAATTACTCCTCTAGCATGAGTTGCTGCTGGAGGCGTATTGATTCTTCCAATGGATGTGCACGGCTCCTCTCCCCCCCTTCAGCTCTGTCCTCCTGTTTCTTTTCCTCAGACTCCTCTCTGACGGGCGGCTCAGGCTGTGACGACAGCACCGTCCCACAGAAGCTGCTGATTCTGGACGCCCGCTCCTACACCGCCGCTGTGGCTAACAGGGCCAAGGGTGGAGGCTGTGAATGCGAGGGTTAGTTTGCTCCTCATTGTTAAATCTTCAAACTCTGTCTAGGATAATAATCTAGGAATTAACAAGTTAAAAACAGGTAAAAAGTTTTTTGACCTATAACTTGTATGTTATATTTAGAGTACTACCCCAACTGTGAGGTGATGTTTATGGGAATGGCCAACATCCACGCCATCCGCAACAGCTTCCAGGCTCTGAGGGCCGTCTGCAGTCAGATTCCAGATCCGGGAAAGTAAGTCGATCCGTCTGACCTTTGTTTATCTGAGCAGCTCTGGCCTCCTTTGCACCTCCCCGTCTGTTTTGATGCTTGCAGTAAAGCAGCACCACCTCGAAACGGGAGCGTTGCCATGGTGCCGTCCTGGTCCTGCTGACTTAACCCACTGCCTGCTTGCACACAGATCTAGTTGTCTTTCCCTTTCATTTGCTTACATGGTTTGCTCTGTGGGTTCTGTGTCTGCATTTATACTTTAATGGTCATACTCTATTTTAAGGCCTGTTTCTCTCTTAGTGTCGGATTTAAGTTAAAGTCACCCGGTAATTTAATCTGATGAATCTTTGCAAAAACTCCAGGGGCTGTTTCTACCCAGGTATTGTCTCACTGGTTGTGTTTATAATGACCATCATATGTAATTATAAAAATAAATTGGCTTAATAGAAACATGCTTTTTTTTGGAAAAATATACTTTTTGGTCATTTAAATTTTTTTTTCATTTCAAAAATGCCATTTAAACACTGTTTTGTTTATTAATTTTTTTGATCCCATGAGAAAGTTAGTTGACGTTTTCCAATAAGATATCGTGTATAAAGACCTACATTTGGATTTTAATAGCATTTCTTATTCAGTGGAAAAGGACCATTGAAAAATACTTTTTTTTTTTTTTTCCAACGTTGGCAGAATATTTTATCACAAACGTTTTGCATGTATTTGTAATGGAAATGCAACTAGATAGGTTTTACCGTCACAGCAGCAGCTTTATGAGTGGCATCAGCGTCGCAGCTCTTTCTAACACCAAAGGTTATTTCTACAGATGCAAATAGATTCAAATGAAACTAAAGATAAAATATATATTTTTAGCATCTTTTAGGTGTCTGTGTTTCCATGCTACAATAAAAAAAAACCTAAATTTATTTCAGTGGGATTTTATTTGACACACCAGGACAAAATTATTTTTTTTTATAAAAGCCGTCCGATCAGAACGAGATTTTCATACCGAAGATTGATGAATATTTTCTTCAGGTGCAAAGCTGATTGAGACTTTTCCTGGAAATTCTTCCGCTATAAATGACATGTTTTACGGTCTTCTTCTCGGAGCACAACATCTTTTCAGATATTTGTAAAAGCATAAATAAGTTTTCACAATGATTTACCACCTAATGATACTTTATTACATACAGTAATTGAATATGTTAAGATTTAGACGCTGTAAAACAGTTCCTGATTAGTTTTTTAGTGAAGAAGGAAAAATGTGTTTCTCCTTTAGGTATAAACTGAAAAATAGATGCTCATCTTAAATGCACATTTTTATTTATTTATTTATTTTTTTTTTATCAAGAAAAGTTTGCATTAGCAAAAAATTTTTTTTATTATTTATTTATTTATTTTTTAATCCTGTTTAAGATTATATCTTTCTTTTTACATGTTATATTAATTTTCTTTCAGATTTTGGTTCTTCAGGCTGAGTTTTACAAATAACTTGTGTTTCAGCTTTTGTTTCACAGATCACCTTTTCTTAAGCGTTTGCATTGGGCTTACAGTAAAGAGTACGGGATCTGGGAAATGCAATCGCGAAAACGTAAATTTGAAAATTTGAAAAGTACATTTGAGAACTGTTGTATTGTGGACCACTGATACTACACGTGAACTTACTCCATAAATTGTCATTTTAGCATCCGCTCAGCCTGATATCCAGCATTGCACTATGACAATGTGTAGCTGGCGAGGGTTCAAAATCTAAATGTAGATGCAGAACTTCTCATTGGTTTGGCCCATAAATATCACCCCCATCAACGTATTGTGGAAAAACTCTTGGAAAGAAATTACTGAACTTGAATTGACATGAAGCTTTGAAAGTTTTGGAGGCAACTGTCTTTTCTACTTCTACATGTTGTGTGATGTTAGCTTGCCCCCCAGAGTTGGCCTGAATACTAGATGTAGATTCTAAAAGCTGCTAATGTTGTAAAATTAACCCAGCTTTAAAACCGAACCATAATGGGTAAATTGTGATCATATAAATGTCAGAGTTGGCTAGTAAAATTAAATTAGAATTGGGAAGTCAGGCTTTTTAAAGATCAGCCAGAAAACTGTCGTCGGTGCTGAACAAGGTTAAGTTATAGAGTTCGTAATCAGAGTTTTGATGCTGCTTGTGAGCTAAAGATGCTGAAGCTCCTTCCTGTTTCCTGCTCTGTATGAAACCATTTAGGAACCATTTCTCCCAGTTGGTCTGATCTGCTTCTCCTCGCTCCTACAGCTGGCTGTCTGCTCTTGAGAGCACCCGATGGCTGCAGCACCTGTCAGTCATGCTGAAGGCAGCCACTCTGGTGTGTGGCGCGGTGGATTGGGAAGGCCGGCCGGTGCTGGTGCACTGCTCAGACGGGTGGGACCGCACCCCCCAGATAGTGGCTCTGGCCAAAATTCTGCTAGATCCCTACTACCGGACATTAGAGGTGAGTCTGTACAGATTAGTCTGCTGCTTTAAATTATTGTTCATATGAAGCATCGTGGGGAGACAGTAATGAGTTATCACTGTTGGATAATCTTTTTATTTTTTTATTAACAGGGTTTTCAGGTGCTTGTGGAGACAGAGTGGCTGGACTTTGGCCATAAATTCGGGGACCGGTGCGGCCACCAGGAGAACATGGATGACGTGAGCGAGCAGTGTCCCGTCTTCCTGCAGTGGCTGGACTGCGTTCACCAGCTGCTCAAACAGTTCCCCTGCCTGTTTGAGTTTAATGAAGCTTTCCTGGTGGGTGGTGGTCCAACTCTGGTCCCTGCATGACATCTCAGACTGTAGAGATCACTGATACCAATCTGTGAAATTATTCCAGATGTCATAATGAAGATGATTTGTCCCTGATATCAAACTCAGTCATTTATAAATTGGTATGGAGATGAATAACACAGTGGTTCCAGTAGTGCTTAGTGGCTGACAATTCTGGACTTTTTAGATCAAGTTATGATCATAAAAAGAAAATGATGTAATAAATTCCTAAATGTGCTCATATTGCAGCTCATAGAATATTTCAGTGAATTTTCAGTTATTTAAACAAGAACAAAGCTGCTTCATAAATTCAACGTTTTGCTTCAAAAGTGAAATTTTATTTAATTACAGTTTCAGCGTCTTTCTGTGCAACTCATGATCAATGCAGGGGAATTTAAGTAACAAACAGGAAGCTGCAGCAGCAGTTGCATTTCTTTTTCCACTGTAGAGGATGAAAGACGTGAACCTTTAGTCATAACATGACTAATATAATCTGCATGGCTTGTAATACAGGTTTGCATATTAAATAATTGATAGATGATCATTATAGTCAAGACCACCTATTTTGGGGGGAGTCTAGACTGATCGCACAATAAACTGTGAAACATCAAATGTCCTCAAATGAACCAGAAAGATCCACCTCCAATAAAAACTACAAGATATTAAACACTTATAGCTAAAATAAATCTATTTTCTCTATTTAAATCTTTTTACCAAATTCTCCACTTATCCCTTCTTTACTTTGTCAAATGTTTGATTCAAACATGACTAAAATGTATTTTTAAATAACTTTTATTTTCTTGGATTACTTTGTTAAATCACATAAAAAGTGGCTGCAGTTCAACTGAAGTCGTTATAAAACTGAAATCATTCTGACTTACTTGTAGCAGGAATGGATTTAATTTTTAAGACACAGAAATTAAAGAAATTCTGTACATGGGCCAAAAAATAAAATCTGTAATTAAAAATGACCAATAATTAAAATAAAATCACTGTAATTAACAATTTACCTAAGATAGAAATAGTTTAAATGATTGAATAATTACATTTCAAGTTTTAGGAGTGTTTTCAGATTTATATTGTCGTTGTCTTAGAAACCATCTGTTTAGTTATGATGTGTAATATACTATAGAACAAAATCCAAAATTATTGATTCTTCTTTATAACAGTTTTATGTTTTAGCGGCAGTAACAAAATAACATTATTCCTGGGAATGAATCATTGCATTTTGTTTCATCAGTACAACATGGCAATAAATCGCTTTATAAAGGAACGCTTTCAATAATATTAAAGGGCCTGAGTCTAGTCGGACCTCTGATTAGGGTGGCCAGATGTCTGGCTTTAGGGCGTCCGGCGCCACATCCAGCCGGACGTGTATTTGTCCTCCTTTATGAGGCACTAGGCTTGTAGAGCAGATTTTTATTTTATTTTTTTGCTGGGCTGCAGCACATTATCCAATCATCAAAAATGCATCACTATCTGATCTAACAGTTGATTGGCTAAGAGTGGCGCCGTGTCAGATAAAGATCTGCTTGTCATTGGTTACAAAAGTAAACCAGGATCAGAATTACTGATGCTAAGTATTAAAGTTAGCGTCCTGTCAAAACCAGGATGTCGTTTAACCCTGAATGGACAAAAGAGCGTGAATTTATGACCAAAGGTAGTGAAGATTCATTCCATGGTTTCTGCCACTATGTCGACGCGATGTGGGCGTAAGCAGTCGAGGAAAAGCTGCAATTGAACGGCGCGCGAGTACGGATTAACATAAAAATAATAAACGTGCAGCAGCGAACTCTTCAATGTTGGCTTTTACATTAAGTTTTGTCGCCCCTGGATGCTAAAACAACTTGTGCAGAGCTGCAAGGTGGACTATATAATAAAACATCACTAGTCCTACGGAAGTGTAGACTGTGAGGTGAAAGTGGATTTCAGTGATTCGCCCATAGCTAAAGGCATTACCATAAAGACAGGTCTGCTGCACAGACACTTAAGATAAGTTCCCAAAAGACTGAGGCTCTTAAAAATAAAGCTATACTTTTAAAGCAGTTGAATGTGTTTTCTACAATCTCTTTTGTTGTTTAAAAAAATATTAGGCTATTTTATTATGAATGTTTCTTGTTAAAAACACTTTTTTAATGTTTAAGTCCCCACATCTTATGCTTTGTGGTATTCTGCACTTTAAAGATTCATCTCGGTGGTCACTTTTTAAACACCACAATGTATTAAATAAATACAAATCTTGGGAACCAATTCTTTTTAACATTTCATAAATATTTTTTTCTATTCAGCTACACAAGCATCCTCTTTAAACTACTAAGAATTGTGCTATAATTTTGACTTTACCTTATTCTTATGTACAACTTAGTAATTTATTGATATGCCGCACAACGTCCTTTGCTATAGAAATGGCCACCCTACCTCTGATACGGATCCAATGCAGATAAAAATGGCTTTATTATTATCTATGTCCAATATCAGGACATCGCTGAAAATTATTGTTTAATATGATCCGGTGCCATTATCCTACATTGTACATAAAAAAAATGTTAACAATGACCCCACCAGAGCATGTTTTTGTATTTTATGCAGGAAAAAGCCTCTCAGACAGACAGCCTTTACAAAAGAAGGCTGTGCCCTCACAGCCCACAACCGTGACAACCAGTCAGTTAATAAAGATAGTGGCTAGAAGCACAGAATAATGCATTAGATGAAGGCCATAACTCTACCGATGGGCTGCTGGAGGCTGCTCTAGACAGCTTATTTCCCCTTATGACATCATAAAGGGAAAGCTTTTTGAACAGATTATTTTGAGCACACATTAGCTAAGAGGTGGGTGAAAGAGGGGTAAAGGTTTTACTTTCATTTGTGAATCTCACACACAGGCTTCAGGACATATATGACGATAAGAAAATGTTTATAAAATGAATTTTGCATAATATGGGACCTTTGAGGTTGCAGCATATGTTGTTAATCAGCTGTCCTTCAGAACTCTAGTCTCCTGTAAAGGCCTGAATTGACTCATCCTCATCCTCTACTCAGGTCAAGCTGGTGCAGCACACCTACTCCTGTCTCTATGGGACGTTTCTGTGCAACAACGCTCGAGAGCGAGAAGCAAAGAACATCTACAAGCGCACCTGTTCCGTGTGGTCCCTCCTCCGCGCAGGAAACAAGAACTTCCAGAACTTCCTCTACGTTCCCGGTCACGATGTTGTAAGAACTGTTTTTGTCATCTCGAATTTTCCCTTTTTAATCTGATAGAAAAACAAATAACTGTTCAATATTTTGTGAGTTTGTTAAGTCTGGATTTCCTTATCTAACCTCTTGTCTTTTAATGGAAGATCGAAAGCAGATCTTTCTTTGTGAAACCAAATATCTCCTGATTAACAAAATGATTGTCCTCCTGTGTTTGCGCGTCTGCCAGGTGCTGCAGCCAGTCTGCCATACTCGGGCCTTGCAGCTGTGGACAGCTGTTTACCTGGCCACCTCCTCCCCCTGCACAGCTGTGGATGAATCTGTGGAGCTCTATCTCCCACCATGTGTCACTGGAGATGAGCTCACCTCCCGCTCACTGGACAGGTACGCTCCTTTAAACACATTCAACATTTATTGGCTCTTACAGAAACATTCTTGCTTCTAAAAGTTGCTTTCTTACATTTGAATATGATGTTAATTCTCAACGTCTTTAATGGGTTTCTAAGTCTGAAAAGTTGGCCAATGTATTCTACCTTATTCTCCTTTAGATAATATTTCAGAGCATCTTTTGAACATATTGGACTTATTTCTGCCTTTCTTCTTTGAACATATCTAAAACCACACATTGGATGTAGCCACAGATTCTCTGCACTTCAAATGGGCCATTCTGACAATTTAATATCACCCCTTTGATTAGGGTTGCGAATCAATCAGAACCGGTTCCAACCGTTTAATTCTCCCGGTATCCTTCAAATTTATTACTCTTAATTTCGCCAACCGAAGGGAGAAAGCCATCGAATACAAGCGAAGAAGAATCTGCAGAAGTGAGCTGCAAGCATCTTTTTATTTGAAAGCCTGGCTTAACGTTCACTAAAGAGGTGACCAGTTCGCTACCTGGGACACTATAGGATCTTATTAATGGAAGATTCCCTCCTCCACCAGACTTATCCGTAGTTTTCAGTAGATATTTTTTCGTTTATTTTCTGTCATCTGAGATCCGTTTCATTTCAAGAAATCCGCTGACTGAACAACTGAAAATGAATCCCGATCCTTTCTTTGTCCTCAAAAGTAAAACCTCACTGCTTCTACATTGGTTAAGAGAAACTAAGGTGCAGTGAACGATGCTGAATTCAAATGATGTCCAACATTTTTTGGTTCTGGTCTCCTCTGATCAGACTAGCTTCTCTACCGGCTGTATTCCTAATGAACCTCCGAGGCTTTAGAGAACAGCTGGATTTGCACTAAATTACATGCATGTAAACTGCAATGTCATAACCTGGATTTTATCCAGTAGTGTTGATCAAAGGGGTGAACTGGACACATCTTCATGCCGCAATTGGACTTTCAGTGATAGTTTTTAATTTATTTTTTTTATTATTCTGGCCTATAAGATTAAACCTCAATCAGATGCATAGAAGTTCATGGTTATAACCTGATAAACTGTAGAAATGGTTTGGGGGGTCTAAATGTTTTCATTCAGTGCAGTTTAGCTGCTGGATGACAGAGTTTTGCTGCCCTCTATTGGCCTAAACAGGGAAGTGTGAAAGAATGACATGTCTGGGCCTTTTGTCTTCTAGGCTTCCTAAGACTCGCTCCATGGACAACCTGCTGTCGGCTCTAGAGAACGGGCTGCCTCTGACCCGTACGTCCAGTGACCCTAATCTGAACAAGCACTGCCAGGAGGGCCGCTCGGCCCCGGGGCCCCCGGTTGCTGTAGAGGACGTGTCTGCAGATAGCTCTGAGGAGGACGGACCTGAAGGGGCTGAGCAGGTGCATTCAGCTGATCCGGGTCTGGACAAGAACCCTGAGGCCGTATCGGGGGAGCCTTGCCTTACCACGCAGCCCCTCCCGTCTCCACCCCTTCCCCCCGTGTCCCCCACACACTCGCTCACTGCCTTCAGCACTCCTGTCCTCCACCAGGCTTCGCCTGAGATCACTAACCCTCCTCTTCCATCGCCTCCACTTGGAGATGAGAGTCCAGGTAGAACTGCTAAACCCTCCTCACCCTCCCATAAACCTGAGCCTTGCTTACCCCTCCCCTGCAAAACCAGTCAGCCTGCAGCCTCCACTTTAGTGTCCAATGGACTCGCTGAGGGCCAGACTAACTGTCTGCCACAGCCTGCCCCACTGCTGGCTCTGAAACAGCAGACGGCCAGCATGGAGGACTCCACTGAGACCCTCACAGATGAGGGAGAGCTCCCCCCTGCCTCCCCCTCTCCGTTACCCCAGCATCTCACTCAGAGCCATTTGAGTGACGAGGATCAGCCTCAGAAAGAGAAGGAGGGGCTAAGGACAGAGCTGGTGAAGGGAAAAGGGAGGACGTTGATGGATGCGGCAGCTTTGGACTCGGCGTCCCCTCACCCACCCGCCCCCCAGGCCCAGCTGTCAGACCTGTCTGTGCTGGGCTCTCCATGGGACAGCGTCCAGGGTCTGGTCCAGTCCAACTCCAGCCACTCTGCCGTCATCCGAGCGCTGCACCCCGGCAGCTACCAGAGCCGGCGGCTAGCGAGTAAACTCCTCCGCTCGCAGGGCTTCGCCGCTGCCACCGGGTCCCAGTGCTGCCGGAGGGAGGCTCTCTGTTGCTCGGCGCAGGCTGGATGTCCGTCTGCAGCCCGGAGCTCAGCCCAAATGGGCCTGTGTGGCCCCGCTCTCAGCAGCTACTCCCTAGCGAGCCACCAGCTCCTACCGGCGTCGTATTCCTCACCATCAGCCGCCGGCTCTCCTCCCCCGCCCCAGACCCCAGCGTACCTGGATGACGACGGCCTGCCAGTGCCGCTGGACGCCGTGCAGCAACGGCTGCGGCAGATCGAGGCTGGCTACAAGCAGGAGGTGGAGGTGCTGCGGCAGCAGGTGCGGCAGCTGCAGATGAGGTTGGAGAGTAAACAGTTCAGCAGCCCGCCCTCTGAGCCAGACATCGACTATGAGGATGACATTGTGAGTCTTTCAGAACGTCGATTCATCCTAATCTGTCTGCTGTTTTTTCTTAATAATCATCACCATCCGTTTGTCCTCTAAAATCTGCCGTGGTTCAGACATGTCTGCGGGAGTCGGACAACAGCAACGAGGAGGACTCCCTGTCCACCCACAGCGAGGACCGTCTGTCTGAGTGCAGCTGGGATCGGGTTGAACCCAAGGACACAGAGGTTAGCATTTCTCATCCACAAGTACAGCGTCTGTCTCCTCCCTGCCTCACCCCTAATAACCTCCCCCGCTGTCCTGTCTGTGTCTGTAGGTCACCAGGTGGGTCCCTGACCACATGGCCTCGCATTGCTTCAACTGTGACTGTGAGTTCTGGATAGCCAAGAGGCGTCACCACTGCAGGTGAGACTTTAGATTCATTTCCCTCCTTTATTTAATATAAAAAGTCAGTTTGCAGGAATATAGTATCATCAAAATCTCAAACTTCTAATCCATCTTGGCTCAAACCACCTGATTGAAGGGATATCAGAATAAAAACCTTCACAAAGAGCCACCGGAACCTCATTCCTTCAAGATACCAAACTAATAAGCAGTCCTCTCTCTACCAGGTTTTAAAAGAGAAACCATTCAGTCAGTCAATAAACATGAAAAAATCTAAAGTCTGTATTTGTTCCCTGCTCTCAACTCATACATTCATGTCACATCGGATGTTTCAATTGTATAAATAAGTTTCCTAATGCAAGTAACAACTTTTTTTTAAAAATAAAGGTCATAATAAAAAACTATGAGTTTGGATCTACAACCCATAAATGTGTGATTTGTACCTCACAAGGGCACGGCCTAATGTCTGTCATTGAAATATGCATTGAATTTATTGCTTGTTTAAAGGTCTTTGTTTAGTTTTGAGTACCTTGAAAGCTGGAAAAAACCAGACTCAAGCATGTAGGTTTTTTGCAAAAGAGAAAAGATGTTTCATTGACCCGCCAGTCGTGGAGCGACGGTCCTTCCTTGGTGAAACGGGAGGAAGAGCCTCAAAATTCAGTTTAAATCCCTGGGTTTTCATGTTAATATGATTTACTAGTTAGATTTTATAACAGTGTTAAAAGATATGCAGTAGACTAGTTGTTAAAAAAGGGGGATGATTGAATTGTCTTTTTTTGGAAGCATATTTAGCCAAATTAATACAGTCTATTAATCTGAAGCAGTATGCACGGTATGGTTGTTAAATGTCAGATACGCCGGTCATTGACCTTGACCAAGGCACCTTACAGTAGAACTACAGTCAGTGGCATGGTTATCACTGCCCCTACACAGTTAGGGATACATGAAGAGGACTAATTTCCCACTAAGATCAGCTTCATAGTCATGGTAGGACACTTCTTTGATTTTATTAATTTTTCTCATGCTACCTATAAGCCCACAGCCCACCAAATGTTGAAAGGGCAATATTATTGCCATTACTGTTAATATATAGTAGAAATTTTAAACGGTAATAAAATGACACAGGGGAATGGGGATGGTCATTTAAGAATGGGGATGCTTTTTAAGATTTTTTTCACCCCCCCCTCAGCCCCCTAGTAGCCTCTCTTTGAAAACCACTGTTTCATTATAATAAAATGCTAAACGTCTGGGATAAGGATTGCCTGTCAGATTAGACCAAACTCTTTCTGAGTTACATTAAAAGATTTTACACAGGGCAGAAAATCAGAGTTATGGGCAAAACAAAGCAAATCCTATTTTGCATCCGATCCGACAGAAAATCGTGTCGGACGGGGTCGTGGCGTTTAGCGCTCATCGAAAGTCAGTGGGGATGATCGCACCAGACACGATTTTACGCAAGTGTAGCCCCGACTGAGACAGATCCCTGGTCTAATTTAGTTGGAATAGGCAGCAATTCAGCGATAATTTCATGGGTCTCACAGTAAGAGAGACACAGTTACAAAGTAAAAAAAACATCCGCTTTGCAGGAAAAATACTAAATAAAATATGTTAATCGCCTGGGGAAAGTGTCAGTTTTGGAGTCGCACAGAGCATACACAGTAAATGGCAAATGACTCCAATACAGAAAATATAATACTTTATCCATGATAGGATTTCCAAAAAAAGTTTAAAAAAAACAACAATCCACTGGACTTTGTTTCCAAGTTTGAAGACGTTTCGCTTCTGATCCATGAAGCTTTTTCAATTCAAAAAGTTAGGAATAGCGTTGAGTTCAAAGTTTTATGCAGCAACCCAACAAAATTTTGTTTTGAAAACATGCAAAAACACTGTTCCTGACTTTTAGAATGGAAAAAGCTTCACGGATGCCAGGGGCGGATCCAGGATTTTTCAAAGGGGGGTGTTCACCTAAGGGTCATGGGGTCACGGGGTCAAGGGTCACGGGTCAAGACAATGTGAGGCTAAAAGACCAAAGAATACCATCTTCACTCTTTCACACTACCCTAATTATTCATCCAAGGGTTTTTAATTGATAATTTTAATGGATGAACATAAGTAGAATTAGCATGATTACATTATTGTAATTAAAAAAGGATCTCTCGGTTTTTAAAGCATGCACAAGGTTAAAAGGTAGTTTGAAGAAAAAAATTATTCTTATCAACAATTAATCAAACAAGGAGTTTCTTTATTTCCAGGAATGATATTTACACAGAACAGGAAATAAAAAAAAAAACCCAAAGACTTGGGTTCAAGTATGGTTCAATTAAGACAAAGGAGTTTTTTAATATATTTTAACAAGATAAACTGTTGAAAAACAAAAAAAACAAAGTTAAACCGCACAAAGAATATTGTTCTCTACTACAAACGTTATGATGACGATAATGAGTTTACAAATGTCAACCTTCTGGGATGCTTCTAGGCAAATGTGTCTATGATTTTGTTGATGTCTAACTGAATGTCCTTGTGCACATACAAAAGAAGCAAAGCCACAAACCTTTCCTGTCCCACTGTTGACCTCAGCAAAGTTTTCACTGCTTTAAGACCCGAGTTAGCACTTTCCACAGAAGCACTGGTAACAGGTATGACTGACAGAAGGTGAAGAATCATATAAATGTTTGGGTAGCACTTCATATTTGTTATCTTTAGAATTTCAGGGAGAGAGCTGGGTTTTTCCACTGATGATGACCACTTTGTGTGCCACAACTTCACTTCCTGCCTGAATGTTGATCCTGACGGTAGATCATCTTTATATGATGTAAAAATTATAAAAAGTCATACTTGTCCAGCCAGTCCCTCTGGCATGTTCTTTTGGTCACCCCACTGGCTCTTCGGTTGTCTTTAAATTCTCTGGCAGGGAAATTGAAAGATTTGAGTGGTTTTCTGGTCTGAAGAAGTTGGAATTTTCCAGAGTCATCCATTTCAGTAATCCGGTCCTTGGCCTTTGATATATCTGTAATAAGATTGATATTTACATTGTCAATTTTGCATGGGTGCTGGTGGAGTTGTAAATCTGCCTACATGAAGCTTTTGTATAGTCTTGCTTTATTATGAAATAATTATTCTGAAATGTAAGATTTCAAGATTAAGCAAAAAAGTAAATTGTGTAAAACAAAAACAAAATTAGTTGTTTTGACATTGAAAAAAATACAACTATTACTAACCTATTTCGTAAGTTGTTTGGGGCAAATCCGCTTGGTTGAGCGCCGGCTCTTCAGTTGTCTTTACATCGAAACACGGTCCTTGTTGTTCATCTGGAAAAGAAAATTATTTTTGTGATCAGGTGAACCTTGTAATCTCAGGAGGAGCCACAAAACAATTTAATGTTGTGTTTTTATCGTAAATTATTAAATTCACCGAACACATATCACCAGGTGCACAAAACTAAATATACTTAAAAGTAAATTGTATTTTTATTGTAAAATATTAAATGCACTGAAAACAAATGACACCAGATTTGTAGTTATCATATCACAATGTTAACAAGACTCCCTTAGACTCCAAGCATGTGCTTAGAGCATTCATTGATTTGGATCCTTACCAATTGATAAAAGTTAGTAATGTTTTCATAAAGGATACCATTCTTATTTTTAACAGAACACCACATGTGGTACAGGTTTAGACCCAAAAATACAGACTACAAAATAACTATTGTATGCATGTCAATGGCAACTAATGTTGCTTATTTTTGTTAATTGTACACTCTTTTTATTACTTATCAAACACTGCAATTTTCAGAACTTTCCTGTTACTGGTTAAAGTATTCCTACAATTGCATTACTTTGCAACTTTAGACAACTTGTTTATCAACAATCAACAATGTTGATAATGTTTTCTCATTGTCAACATTTTCTAGCAATCATCATACCTTTTATCTGTGTCTCCAATATCTGAACGTTCATACAGGTCAACGCTGTGGTCATTTTCTGTAGTTGTGCCAGGTCCACTGAAGAATAGAAAACAAGATATAGACATTTCAATCTGTGTTATTTAGATTATAGACATAAGCCTATAGAAATTAAAGTGATAAAGTTGGTTTCTACTTACCCTTCTGTTGGATTGGAACAGAATCTTAAAAGAGATGGTTGTCCGGTTTTCTTGTTTGGCCTTAAATCTTCCAGGTCTCCTCGTTCTCGCAAAGACGCCATTGTTGTATGGCAAGCCGATTGGGCCAATAATCGTCCGTACAATAATGCGCAGTTCCAACCCGTATTTTACGCGAGCGTGCGTTTTTTACGTCACCGCACGTTTCCAGCCAGAAGGCGCGGTGACGTAAAAAACGCGCGCTCGCGTAAAATACGGGTTGGAACCTCGCGTTATTGTACGGACGATTATTGGCCCAATCGGCTTGCCAAATCCCCCGCGCCCCCGCCTGAATCCGCGCCTGGATCTTCAAACTTGGAAACAAAGTTTGACTATGACCTGGATGACTGAGAATCTAGGAGTTCAGGAGGATGGAAAATGGATAAAATAGTGATCCTCTTTGAGCCTCACAAATAAATAACAAGGTCAGCATATAAACCGCCCCAAGGCATTTATTGCTGTGTTTTTCTTTAGACGTAAATCTCATGAACATTCTCTGTCTGCTCTGTTTTGAGATGCTCCTCAGACTCGTTAAGTGGGGCTTTGCTTTATAGAATGCAGTGGTGTTTTATTTTTTTTAAATAACTTTTTATAATCTGTCCAAGTCAAATGTGGGAAATTATTTAAATTTCTGTATAGCCCAGAGACAAAGGTGTAAAAAAATCTGCACAGATGCGACCACCCCAGTGGGAGCCTCCATACTAAGTCAGTCTGACATGGAAACAAAATTGGATCTGAGATTAAAAAGTCGTACGCCATCGGTGTGTTTCAGCCTTTATTCTGAACCCATCGACTTCACTGAAACATCTGGATCCTTCAACATGGAAGCTAGAATGAGATTAAAGGCAATCCTGGAAGAAAGCCTGTTTCTCTGCATCGTTAACCCTCCAGCAGACAAACCATAGTAGAGCTACTACCGAATGGCCTAAAGCGAAGCATATCTGTTTGTTTGAACGGCCTAGTCAAAGCCCAAAGAATTCAGATTCTAATTGTTTAGAGCAATTTTAAAAAGTTAGAATAAATGCAGTTCTTGTAGTGAGAGGGTTTCTATAAATTATTAACTTAATATAATATTAATGTTAATATAAACATCTTTTTGTTTTCTTACAGGAACTGTGGTAATGTGTTCTGTAAAGACTGCTGTCACCTGAAGCTGCCCATCCCAGACCAGCAGCTGTACGACCCGGTGTTGGTGTGCAACACCTGCCACGACCTGCTCCTGGAGTCCCGCACCCGCGAGATCCGCAGCCAGCAGCTGAAGAAGGCCATTGCCACGGCGTCCAGCTGAGAGAGGCGCGGCGACGCGCGGCCCACCTCTGCTCTGTCCTGCTCGTTTCCGACCGACGAGCAGAGCGACCCGTTGGCAACTTCGACATGCTGTCGTTTTGGCTGCGAGGGGGTTCGGTGAGCGACGAGGAGGAGATGTGTCCTCTGTGGAGAAACATGGATGCACTTGAGACTAGAAGGTGATTGGATGAAGCAGGTTAGCGGAGGTGGAGTTGATGCTGTTTAGATATTTTTCAGCCTGGAGTGCTGCAGCGTCCCGCTGCCCCCCCCTGGCGGCCCAGTCCTCTGACGGCGTCCCGTCTCTGTCCACCCACCTTTTGTCCTGAAAGAACAGCGGCACCATTCTGGCAGACTGTCTCGCTCTTTAAAAGGACAATCGCTCAACCTTCATGTGTCGGGAACTCTCCACACGCCACTGGAGGCGACTTCGAAAGAGGAAAAAAAAGAAATGCTGCTACAGTATTTAAGTCTAATTTTGTATTTTTATTTTGTGCACTACTAGCTGTTGTGTATTTGAGGGAGACCAAACTTGAGCATAAGGGAGAAACCTGCTGTTTACTTTGCTAAATGCATCTTATTCCTTTAGAGCCAGAATGTAAGTGTGCTGGGAAGACTGGACGGATCTCCCTTTTCCCCGCTGGACTCATTTAAACGTTCGCTGCTGCAACATGTGCTTTGACCTCTGCGTACGCACAGTCGACGTGGTTCCGTCTCCGTCGTCGCTTCGCTCCACTGCGGCCATGTTATCACACCAGGCTGATGAAGACGGCTGCTTGTTTTGGTGAAGTGGTTGCTGAGAGGAGTCGGGATGGGAGATTTTTAAAGGTGCTGGTGGATTTCTGTGACGTTTCCCAGGGAATCTCTAAAGGTTTGAGCTGAGACTCTCGTCTGAACATCTCAGTGTCCTCGTGAAGCTTGATGTCCATCATATTGTGAACTGGCAGAAGACTGAACAGAACACTCAGATTTCTTTTTGTTTTTTGTCCCCCTTCAGAAAAAGTGTTTTGTGTCTACTGGTTGTTTCTTGAATCAATAGTGCCATATTTGGTTTTGTCTACTTTAAAAGCCTTTTTTTTTTCTTTTGTCTAAACAGCAGCAGGTTTCTAATCGGCCACGCCTGTGTTTGATTTATTGGTGCAAATATTTAGCTGCTCAGTAACACTGATTCGAATTAAGATTAACAAATTGAGTTAGATAAAGACAACGATGGGATATAACTGAATTAGTAAAACTCTGAGCTTAACCATTGTGTAATGCTTGGGATGTTTTTTTTTTCGTTTTTTTTAATGCACGATAAAGTGGAAATTTTTCAAGACCAGATCAAAAATGTAACAAACTGTTATCCGATCAGTAGTGGTGGCTAAAACCCGTTATCTAATAATTGTTGTAAAGAAAATGCACTGTAAAACTGAAATCCCATTAGTTCAAATAAACCATCATATGAAATACCGGCTTCCTGTCCCCAAATCACTGACTCCTCTACACCACCTGCCTGGGAATGAACCTCTTAACACCTATTTATACCAATTATAATCCCTTTGCTGCATTGAGTGTGCAGCTAGGAACCTTTGATGAGCTCTTGTTTCCATTAGAACTGGTCCCTGACCTTATCAATGATGGCTATAAATGTTGTCTCAAATTTATAATATACCTGCATTTTTATCCATTTTTGAACTACAGTAATAGCAAATTTCAAAATTTCCATTTGGCATCCACTTAAAGTCATTTTTTAAAAGTGTTTAAAATTAGGGCTGCAAATAACGACTATTTGCAAATCGATTTATCTGACGATTTTTTTCTATTAATGACCGGACAGCCAAAAGAAGATTTTTTTACGAAATTAAACCAAGTTAAAATAAAACTTTTCTACTTTAGGTGTTCTGGATTGAACATATTGCAAAATGTTAATCTGTTTTTTAGAATCTTGGTATAATTACTGCTCTAAGTGGGTCACTGTCAGCTAAATTCATGTTTTACAGTCTCTATACTCCAGTTAACAATCAATTACTAAATAAGTTGACGATTAGTTCAATAATCAAATTTCACAATCTGATTGTTTCAGTCCTAGTTGAAACAATAATGCAGTGTTTGAATTCAAAACTGAGACGATATGGATGAGAAATAAATAATAAAATATTGGAAATAAAAGGCAAATTACAATCAGGTCCAAAGCTAAACAGAACATTTACATCAAAATGTTTCTTTTTTGGTTGCGTTTATTTTAACAAAGGGTCTCCCAGTGACGAGCTTAAAACAATCAGAAAGATCCAGAGCAGTCTGGCAGTAAAGATGGTGTGAAATGCATCTTTCAACAGTTAAGCAGATAAAAGCTTCCTGCTCCGATGGGCTTAGCAACGTCTGACGGAGGAAATGGAGACGAGAACAGCTGAACGCTGCAATGTGGTAAACTGTAACCGCCTGAAATTATAGCTTAGTTAATCTTTGTCATTACTGTTTTGGTAACGGACACCAATAAAAAAACTGTTTTGTTTTTTTTCATTTGTAAAAATAGAAATTGATATGCAGTTTCTTTGTCAAAAAGGGATGGGCGAAATTTAGAAAGTATATTCTGAGTCAATAAATTAACCACAGCTAATAAATTATATTAATATTAAGAAAAAAATTGGCCTTTTTAAAATTTTTATTTATTTTACATGGAACTCTGGGACCCGTATATTGGACTGAATTTTGGGAAAGACACCCTCGGAATAACACTCTTTGAATGGGAAAAAGCTAACTTTTTTTGGAAGATCCCTGGAATGTTTTCACTTATTTGACAAGAGCACCAAATTTAACAGAGTGCTGATGTGAGAGGTTGGTGAGAAAGATGTTCTCCAAACAGGTGTTGTTGCCCATTAGTTGGAGGTTTCTTTGTTTAAGCCCTTGCTCAAACCATTTTACGTTTGGCCAAGATGCTTTTCGTCCTGACCTACTTTTAGTGCGGTTTGTATGCCTTGTTTCTTCTGGCGTGCCCCAGGTCAGCTGTGGCTACAGTGTAGCTCACCGCCATCAATGGATATCAATGGGAGAAGGTGGTACTGAGAATTGCTTTGGAGTCCTGATGATGTTCTATTCAACTAGAGATCCTTTATTAATTTAATATCATGTTTCCCTCTTGTGAAACTTTGCTGAGCTTTTAGTGGATGACAGCCCTTATTTTGCCTTAAAAAGCCTTACCAAGTTAGACTCTAAAGATATTTTATTCAGGATTAAAGGAGCAATTTCCCCCTGTTGGAGGTGTTGCTCTTTTACAGTAAATAACCTCATTCAATATACACTATATTGCCAAAAGTATTTGCTCACCCATCCAAATTATTGGAATCAGGTGTTCCAATCACTTCCATGGCCACAGGTGTATAAATTCAAGCACCTAGGCATGCAGACTGTTTTTACAAACATTTGTGAAAGAATGGGTCGCTCTCAGGAGCTCAGTGAATTCCAGCGTGGAACTGTGATAGGATGCCACCTGTGCAACAAATCCAGTCGTGAAATTTCCTCGCTCCTAAATATTCCACAGTCAACTGTCAGCTGTATTATAAGAAAATGGAAGTGTTTGGGAACGACAGCAACTCAGCCACGAAGTGGTAGGCCACGTAAACTGACGGAGCGGGGTCAGCGGATGCTGACGCGCATAGTGCGAAGAGGTCGCCAACTTTCTGCAGAGTCAATCACTACAGACCTCCAAACTTCATATGGCCTTCAGATTAGCTCAAGAACAGTGCGCAGAGAGCTTCATGGAATGGGTTTCCATGGGCGAGCAGCTGCATCCAAGCCATACATCACCAAGTGCAATGCAAAGCGTCGGATGCGGTGGTGTAAAGCACGCCGCCACTGGACTCTAGAGCAGTGGAGACGCGTTCTCTGGAGTGACGAATCGCGCTTCTCCATCTGGCAATCTGATGGACGGGTCTGGGTTTGGCGGTTGCCAGGAGAACGGTACTTGTCTGACTGCATTGTGCCAAGTGTAAAGTTTGGTGGAGGGGGGATTATGGTGTGAGGTTGTTTTTCAGGAGCTGGGCTTGGCCCCTTAGTTCCAGTGAAAGGAACTCTGAATGCTTCAGCATACCAAGACATTTTGGACAATTCCATGCTCCCAACTTTGTGGGAACAGTTTGGAGCTGGCCCCTTCCTCTTCCAACATGACTGTGCACCAGTGCACAAAGCAAGGTCCATAAAGACATGGATGACAGAGTCTGGTGTGGATGAACTTGACTGGCCTGCACAGAGTCCTGACCTCAACCCGATAGAACACCTTTGGGATGAATTAGAGCGGAGACTGAGAGCCAGGCCTTCTCGTCCAACATCAGTGTGCGACCTCACAAATGCGCTTCTGGAAGAATGGTCAAAAATTCCCATAAACACACTCCTAAACCTTGTGGACAGCCTTCCCAGAAGAGTTGAAGCTGTTCTAGCTGCAAAGGGTGGACCGACGTCATATTGAACCCTATGGATTAGGAACGGGATGTCACTTAAGCTCATATGTGAGTCAAGGCAGGTGAGCAAATACTTTTGGCAATATAGTGTAGGAAAAAAAATCGGCCTTTTTGTTCAAAACTACTTCATGTTTTGTTCATCAAAATGGAAAATAAAATTATTTTGTTCAAGTTTTGACACAAAAAGTGAGAATTTTATTCAGTTTTTGTATCCTAAAACAAAAATCAAATAGCCTCTTGTTTTTTCTCTTTCTAAAAGGAGAATGAAATGACAAACGATGCACGGCCCTTTACACTGCAGCTGCTCAGTGCTTTCACAGATGCCACTGTATTAATAAAGGAAATCACCACAAATGACAACTGTGGCATCAGCCAGAAAAACGAGAGTTAAAAATAGTTTGTATTAAATAACACATGAGGCCAGCGACCATTAGTGGAAATGATATCCATCAGAACGCAGCTCCTGTTCAAAGCCAGACCTGTTCCACCCCCCCACCTCTGACGCATTAATTAAGGTCCTTTTTCAAATAAGAACTGGATTACTCTTATATGTAGTTTAAGTTGTTTTAATTGGGTACAAAACTTTGATCAGATGTGCTTGTTGTAAATCCTTTCAGAAATAAAATTTCACAGACTCTAACTCATTTTTCGTTGAACAACACAAAGTAGTCTACATAATTACTAAATTAAAAAGGAGAATCTTGAAAAAAATTACTTGGTGTTTCACAGTAGCAACACTACCCTATGTTTTACTGCATCCATCTTCCTATAACTTTATATATATTCCTTCATGCCTCTGTTCCATAATAATAATAATAATAATTTAACTTTATTGATCTCACACTGGAGAAATTTAACTCTGCTCTGGAAAAAATAAAAATCTAGGTAAGTAATTTTTTCTCCAAAAAAGTGCCTTTGTTCTTGGATTAAGGAGGAAAAACAGACCTTAAAGCAGACCTTTTGCCAATGGAACAAGACAATTTGCATTTAAAATAAGAAAACACAATTGCATTGTCTTATTTCAAGTGCATTTTATCTAAATATCTTATTTTAAGAGTAAAAATACTCATTCAATTGGCGGATCATCTTATTTACAAACTCAAATTAAGGATAAATACACTTAAGGCATTTTACCAATTTCTAGATTGTTTTTCCAGTGTGCATTTAACGCATTCCTTTGGGGAGCAGTGGGCTGCCATCGTGCAGCACCTGGGGAGCAGTGTGGGGTTAAGGGTCTTGCTCAGGAGCCCAGAGTGTACTGAGTGTGAGGGATCAAACCGTGTACTTTCAACCTTCCCAGAGCATCCGATGCAGGTCCAGCAGATCCCAGAACAGTTTCTTCCCCACTGCCATTACACTGCTGAATGTTGTACAAAATGGGTTTTTTAAAATAATTAAAAAAAAAAAAAAGCACTGAATGTTGGGAACTGTGAATCATATACCAGTCTTATTTTCAAATTTGATCACTGCTGTACTTTAAAAAGAGCTGCACAGGACGACATTTCTTTTTGCATGCACTCTGTGTGTGCAAAATATCTAACTCACTAGGCCAGCCCTCCCCCATAAAGATCCAACCTTTTAGATGTGTCACTTACCAACACACCTGATTCAAACAGCTAAATGACCTCATCAGCTGCAGTCAAGCTCTGCTAATGAGCTCACATTGCAGGCAGAGAAACATCTGAAGGTCTGCAGCACACAGAACATATCTTGGGTTTCTCCACCAGATGGCGTTAATGCGCTAACAAGTCCCCCCCTGCAACAAGCTCAGCATCTTCAGCCAATCAAACAGGGTGGAGTTGATAAATTTACTGTAAGACCTTTCTTAATTTCCCTCCTTTCTCTGGTATTGAGTGACTAAAGTTTCCTCCTTTGAAAGTCATTTCCTTTTAGGGTCCTATGAGGAAAGTAGAAACTAAATCTGACAAAGTTTGATGATGTTTAAATAGGTTTCCATGCCACCAAATAAGATTAATTTAAAATACTAGAGGTCAAGGCTTCCTTGGTGTTTCCTTCTCTG